GGTGTACTGTGTGGTGTGGGACTGTAGGCCCCCACCATTGTTGGTGTACTGTGTGGTGTGGGACTGTAGGTGACCCCACCATTGTTGGTGTACTGTGTGGTGTGGGACTGTAGGTGACCCCACCATTGTTGGTGTACTGTGTGGTGTGTGTAGGTGACTGTGTTGGACTGTGTGGTGTGGGACTGTAGGACCCCCACCATTGTTGGTGTACTGTGTGGTGTGGGACTGTAGGTGACCCCACCATTGTTGGTGTACTGTGTGGTGTGGGACTGTAGGCCCCCACCATTGTTGGTGTACTGTGTGGTGTGGGACTGTAGGTGACCCCACCATTGTTGGTGTACTGTGTGGTGTGGGACTGTAGGTGACCCCACCATTGTTGGTGTACTGTGTGGTGTGGGACTGTAGGCCCCCACCATTGTTGGTGTACTGTGTGGTGTGGGACTGTAGGTGACCCCACCATTGTTGGTGTACTGTGTGGTGTGGGACTGTAGGCCCCCACCATTGTTGGTGTACTGTGTGGTGTGGGACTGTAGGTGACCCCACCATTGTTGGTGTACTGTGTGGTGTGGGACTGTAGGTGACCCCACCATTGTTGGTGTACTGTGTGGTGTGGGACTGTAGGTGACCCCACCATTGTTGGTGTACTGTGTGGTGTGGGACTGTAGGACTGTAGGTGACCCCACCATTGTTGGTGTACTGTGTGGTGTGGGACTGTACCCCACCATTGTTGGTGTACTGTGTGGTGTGGGACTGTAGGCCCCCACCATTGTTGGTGTACTGTGTGGTGTGGGACTGTAGGCCCCCACCATTGTTGGTGTACTGTGTGGTGTGGGACTGTAGGTGACCCCACCATTGTTGGTGTACTGTGTGGTGTGGGACTGTAGGCCCCCACCATTGTTGGTGTACTGTGTGGTGTGGGACTGTAGGTGACCCCACCATTGTTGGTGTACTGTGTGGTGTGGGACTGTAGGTGACCCCACCATTGTTGGTGTACTGTGTGGTGTGGGACTGTAGGTGACCCCACCATTGTTGGTGTACTGTGTGGTGTGGGACTGTAGGTGCCCCCACCATTGTTGGTGTACTGTGTGGTGTGGGACTGTAGGCCCCCACCATTGTTGGTGTACTGTGTGGTGTGGGACTGTAGGTGCCCCCACCATTGTTGGTGTACTGTGTGGTGTGGGACTGTAGGTGACCCCACCATTGTTGGTGTACTGTGTGGTGTGGGACTGTAGGTGGGACCCCACCATTGTTGGTGTACTGTGTGGTGTGGGACTGTAGGTGACCCCACCATTGTTGGTGTACTGTGTGGTGTGGGACTGTAGGCCCCCACCATTGTTGGTGTACTGTGTGGTGTGGGACTGTAGGCCCCCACCATTGTTGGTGTACTGTGTGGTGTGGGACTGTAGGCCCCCACCATTGTTGGTGTACTGTGTGGTGTGGGACTGTAGGTGACCCCACCATTGTTGGTGTACTGTGTGGTGTGGGACTGTAGGTGACCCCACCATTGTTGGTGTACTGTGTGGTGTGGGACTGTAGGTGACCCCACCATTGTTGGTGTACTGTGTGGTGTGGGACTGTAGGCCCCCACCATTGTTGGTGTACTGTGTGGTGTGGGACTGTAGGTGACCCCACCATTGTTGGTGTACTGTGTGGTGTGGGACTGTAGGCCCCCACCATTGTTGGTGTACTGTGTGGTGTGGGACTGTAGGTGACCCCACCATTGTTGGTGTACTGTGTGGTGTGGGACTGTAGGTGACCCCACCATTGTTGGTGTACTGTGTGGTGTGGGACTGTAGGTGACCCCACCATTGTTGGTGTACTGTGTGGTGTGGGACTGTAGGCCCCCACCATTGTTGGTGTACTGTGTGGTGTGGGACTGTAGGTGACCCCACCATTGTTGGTGTACTGTGTGGTGTGGGACTGTAGGTGACCCCACCATTGTTGGTGTACTGTGTGGTGTGGGACTGTAGGCCCCCACCATTGTTGGTGTACTGTGTGGTGTGGGACTGTAGGTGCCCCCACCATTGTTGGTGTACTGTGTGGTGTGGGACTGTAGGTGACCCCACCATTGTTGGTGTACTGTGTGGTGTGGGACTGTAGGTAGGCCCCCACCATTGTTGGTGTACTGTGTGGTGTGGGACTGTAGGTGACCCCACCATTGTTGGTGTACTGTGTGGTGTGGGACTGTAGGTGACCCCACCATTGTTGGTGTACTGTGTGGTGTGGGACTGTAGGCCCCCACCATTGTTGGTGTACTGTGTGGTGTGGGACTGTAGGCCCCCACCATTGTTGGTGTACTGTGTGTGTGGGTGGGACTGTACTGTGTGGTGTGGGACCCCCACCATTGTTGGTGTACTGTGTGGTGTGGGACTGTAGGTGACCCCACCATTGTTGGTGTACTGTGTGGTGTGGGACTGTAGGCCCCCACCATTGTTGGTGTACTGTGTGGTGTGGGACTGTAGGCCCCCACCATTGTTGGTGTACTGTGTGGTGTGGGACTGTAGGCCCCCACCATTGTTGGTGTACTGTGTGGTGTGGGACTGTAGGCCCCCACCATTGTTGGTGTACTGTGTGGTGTGGGACTGTAGGCCCCCACCATTGTTGGTGTACTGTGTGGTGTGGGACTGTAGGCCCCCACCATTGTTGGTGTACTGTGTGGTGTGGGACTGTAGGCCCCCACCATTGTTGGTGTACTGTGTGGTGTGGGACTGTAGGTGACCCCACCATTGTTGGTGTACTGTGTGGTGTGGGACTGTAGGTGACCCCACCATTGTTGGTGTACTGTGTGGTGTGGGACTGTAGGCCCCCACCATTGTTGGTGTACTGTGTGGTGTGGGACTGTAGGCCCCCACCATTGTTGGTGTACTGTGTGGTGTGGGACTGGAGGCCCCCCACCATTGTTGGTGTACTGTGTAGTGTGGGACAGTAGGCCCCCACCATTGTTGGTGCACTGTGTGGTGTGGGACTGTAGGCCCCCACCATTGTTGGTGTACTGTGTGTGTGGGACTGTGCCCCCACCATTGTTGGTGTACTGTGTGGTGTGGGACTGTAGGCCCCCACCATTGTTGGTGCACTGTGTGGTGTGGGACTGTAGGCCCCCACCATTGTTGGTGTACTGTGTGGTGTGTGGGCCCCCACCATTGTTGGTGTACTGTGTGGTGTGGGGGACCCCACCATTGTTGGTGTACTGTGTGGTGTGGGACTGTAGGCCCCCACCATTGTTGGTGTACTGTGTGGTGTGGGACTGTAGGTGACCCACCATTGTTGGTGTACTGTGTGGTGTGGGACTGTAGGCCCCCACCATTGTTGGTGTACTGTGTGGTGTGGGACTGTAGGCCCCCACCATTGTTGGTGTACTGTGTGGTGTGGGACTGTAGGACCCCACCATTGTTGGTGTACTGTGTGGTGTGGGACTGTAGGTGACCCCACCATTGTTGGTGTACTGTGTGGTGTGGGACTGTAGGTGCCCCCACCATTGTTGGTGCACTGTGTGGTGTGGGACTGTAGGCCCCCACCATTGTTGGTGTACTGTGTGGTGTGGGACTGTAGGCCCCCACCATTGTTGGTGTACTGTGTGGTGTGGGACTGTAGGTGACCCCACCATTGTTGGTGTACTGTGTGGTGTGGGACTGTAGGTGACCCCACCATTGTTGGTGTACTGTGTGGTGTGGGACTGTAGGTGACCCCACCATTGTTGGTGTACTGTGTGGTGTGGGACTGTAGGTGACCCCACCATTGTTGGTGTACTGTGTGGTGTGGGACTGTAGGTGACCCCACCATTGTTGGTGCACTGTGTAGTGTGGGACTGTAGGTGACCCCACCATTGTTGGTGTACTGTGTGGTGTGGGACTGTAGGTGACCCCACCATTGTTGGTGCACTGTGTGGTGTGGGACTGTAGGTGACCCCACCATTGTTGGTGTACTGTGTGGTGTGGGACTGTAGGCCCCCACCATTGTTGGTGTACTGTGTGGTGTGGGACTGTAGGACCCCACCATTGTTGGTGTTCTGTGTAGTGTGGGACTGTAGGACCCCACCATTGTTGGTGCACTGTGTGGTGTGGGACTGTAGGACCCCACCATTGTTGGTGTACTGTGTGGTGTGGGACTGTAGGTGACCCCACCATTGTTGGTGCACTGTGTGGTGTGGGACTGTAGGCCCCCACCATTGTTGGTGCACTGTGTGGTGTGGGACTGTAGGCCCCCACCATTGTTGGTGTTCTGTGTGGTGTGGGACTGTAGGTGACCCCACCATTGTTGGTGTTCTGTGTGGTGTGGACTAAAATGTCATTTTGAGGCAATGGAGTGGCTTGAACTCGGGACCTGGTGATTCCCACTCGCCTGCCTTAACCATTCTGCCACGGTGGTACAAAAGTTGACCAACCCAGAACTCTACCGATTTCTTTTGGAAGTTCTGGAGGCCGCAAACCGGGGCCCAACTTTGGTTCTCTAGCCAACATGACCACAGTCAGGTTGGCAGTGTGAACACTATGGTAATGGTGTTCATACTCTAATGCCCCAGACAGATCACAATGATATCACAACGGAGTTCTATATTAACGAAAATAATTTTGTGGCAATGGAGTGGTTTGACCTGGAGATTCCCAATCGCCTGCCTTAGGCCCCCGGACCTGCTTACTCTACCCAGTTCCCCGTCAACCTGCTCCCACCTGGCATATGAGCCGCCACACGACCTCACACGCAACACAACAGTACATTACCAGTCCCTAATATTCACATTTTCTACAGGAACTTCATCTCTAATGCAAATATGACATTAAAAACAAATTTCAGGGATTATACTCCATCAGTGATAAAACAAATAACAAATTACTCAGGACATTTATCTTAAAATCAATAGGTTAAATTAATTATGAATCATCACATATATTAAAAAGACTAGAAAAATAATAATGTAAATGAAAATATACAAAGTGATGAGCAAAACTATAATGAGCGTGTTGAGGCTCTGAGTTAGTGATCAAACGTAACCTTACTTCCAGATGTTGCTGACCATTCATGGTCTGGGTAACGTTGGTGGGTATGGCAGCGAGGCGCAGGAGGAGCTGCGGGAGCTTGGTGCCGGGGAGAGCCTCCACACCGCCGCCGTGCGCCTGGCGGCAGTCACGGCTCTGGGCAAAGGTCCCTGCTCCACACAGGTCAGTTCACCACGAAACTAATTTGTAGCAATATTGTGGGTTCTTCCCAATGAATTCTGAAACGTCTCTATCCGATATCTATTGTATCCAACGTCAGCGATGTTTCGCTCATTGTGTACAACTATTTTTGCTTTCACGATCAAGACCAACCCCCCCCCTCCCCCGATTGTTCCTGAGAACAAGACCAACCCCCCCCCCCTCCCCCGATTGTTCCCCGTGATCAAGGCCAACCCCCTCCCCGATTGTTCCCCGTGATCAAGGCCAACCCCCTCCCCTCCCTCGGGGGCGCCAGCGTGCCCCAGAGAACGCAGACAGTCACGTTAGGCACTAAGGTCCTAACGTGACTGTAGGTCCTCTGCCTCACTGAACACAAGCACCTGGGAGGCCACGCTGGGGGTATACAGTATATTCTAGCAGCAAGGTCGCCCTCATATAACACGAGGAGGGGCAAGGTCGCCCTCATATAACACGAGGAGGGGCAAGGTCGCCCTCATATAACACGAGGAGGGGCAAGGTCGCCCTCATATAACACGAGGAGGGGCAAGGTCGCCCTCATATAACACGAGGAGGGGCAAGGTCGCCCTCATATAACACGAGGAGGGGCAAGGTCGCCCTCATATAACACGAGGAGGGGCAAGGTCGCCCTCATATAACACGAGGAGGGGCAAGGTCGCCCTCATATAACACGAGGAGGGGCAAGGTCGCCCTCATATAACACGAGGAGGGGCAAGGTCGCCCTCATATAACACGAGGAGGGGCAAGGTCGCCCTCATATAACACGAGGAGGGGCAAGGTCGCCCTCATATAACACGAGGAGGGGCAAGGTCGCCCTCATATAACACGAGGAGGGGCAAGGTCGCCCTCATATAACACGAGGAGGGGCAAGGTCGCCCTCATATAACACGAGGAGGGGCAAGGTCGCCCTCATATAACACGAGGAGGGGCAAGGTCGCCCTCATATAACACGAGGAGGGGCAAGGTCGCCCTCATATAACACGAGGAGGGGCAAGGTCGCCCTCATATAACACGAGGAGGGGCAAGGTCGCCCTCATATAACACGAGGAGGGGCAAGGTCGCCCTCATATAACACGAGGAGGGGCAAGGTCGCCCTCATATAACACGAGGAGGGGCAAGGTCGCCCTCATATAACACGAGGAGGGGCAAGGTCGCCCTCATATAACACGAGGAGGGGCAAGGTCGCCCTCATATAACACGAGGAGGGGCAAGGTCGCCCTCATATAACACGAGGAGGGGCAAGGTCGCCCTCATATAACACGAGGAGGGGCAAGGTCGCCCTCATATAACACGAGGAGGGGCAAGGTCGCCCTCATATAACACGAGGAGGGGCAAGGTCGCCCTCATATAACACGAGGAGGGGCAAGGTCGCCCTCATATAACACGAGGAGGGGCAAGGTCGCCCTCATATAACACGAGGAGGGGCAAGGTCGCCCTCATATAACACGAGGAGGGGCAAGGTCGCCCTCATATAACACGAGGAGGGGCAAGGTCGCCCTCATATAACACGAGGAGGGGCAAGGTCGCCCTCATATAACACGAGGAGGGGCAAGGTCGCCCTCATATAACACGAGGAGGGGCAAGGTCGCCCTCATATAACACGAGGAGGGGCAAGGTCGCCCTCATATAACACGAGGAGGGGCAAGGTCGCCCTCATATAACACGAGGAGGGGCAAGGTCGCCCTCATATAACACGAGGAGGGGCAAGGTCGCCCTCATATAACACGAGGAGGGGCAAGGTCGCCCTCATATAACACGAGGAGGGGCAAGGTCGCCCTCATATAACACGAGGAGGGGCAAGGTCGCCCTCATATAACACGAGGAGGGGCAAGGTCGCCCTCATATAACACGAGGAGGGGCAAGGTCGCCCTCATATAACACGAGGAGGGGCAAGGTCGCCCTCATATAACACGAGGAGGGGCAAGGTCGCCCTCATATAACACGAGGAGGGGCAAGGTCGCCCTCATATAACACGAGGAGGGGCAAGGTCGCCCTCATATAACACGAGGAGGGGCAAGGTCGCCCTCATATAACACGAGGAGGGGCAAGGTCGCCCTCATATAACACGAGGAGGGGCAAGGTCGCCCTCATATAACACGAGGAGGGGCAAGGTCGCCCTCATATAACACGAGGAGGGGCAAGGTCGCCCTCATATAACACGAGGAGGGGCAAGGTCGCCCTCATATAACACGAGGAGGGGCAAGGTCGCCCTCATATAACACGAGGAGGGGCAAGGTCGCCCTCATATAACACGAGGAGGGGCAAGGTCACCCTCATATAACACGAGGAGGGGCAAGGTCGCCCTCATATAACACGAGGAGGGGCAAGGTCGCCCTCATATAACACGAGGAGGGGCAAGGTCGCCCTCATATAACACGAGGAGGGGCAAGGTCGCCCTCATATAACACGAGGAGGGGCAAGGTCGCCCTCATATAACACGAGGAGGGGCAAGGTCGCCCTCATATAACACGAGGAGGGGCAAGGTCGCCCTCATATAACACGAGGAGGGGCAAGGTCGCCCTCATATAACACGAGGAGGGGCAAGGTCGCCCTCATATAACACGAGGAGGGGCAAGGTCGCCCTCATATAACACGAGGAGGGGCAAGGTCGCCCTCATATAACACGAGGAGGGGCAAGGTCGCCCTCATATAACACGAGGAGGGGCAAGGTCGCCCTCATATAACACGAGGAGGGGCAAGGTCGCCCTCATATAACACGAGGAGGGGCAAGGTCGCCCTCATATAACACGAGGAGGGGCAAGGTCGCCCTCATATAACACGAGGAGGGGCAAGGTCGCCCTCATATAACACGAGGAGGGGCAAGGTCGCCCTCATATAACACGAGGAGGGGCAAGGTCGCCCTCATATAACACGAGGAGGGGCAAGGTCGCCCTCATATAACACGAGGAGGGGCAAGGTCGCCCTCATATAACACGAGGAGGGGCAAGGTCGCCCTCATATAACACGAGGAGGGGCAAGGTCGCCCTCATATAACACGAGGAGGGGCAAGGTCGCCCTCATATAACACGAGGAGGGGCAAGGTCGCCCTCATATAACACGAGGAGGGGCAAGGTCGCCCTCATATAACACGAGGAGGGGCATACCTCATATAACACGAGGAGGGGCATACCTCATATAACACGAGGAGGGGCATACACAACCGTAATTATATATCATAATTACGGTTGTTTATATTAACTTTGATTATAGTTAGGCCTAACTTTGTTTAGGTATTGTAAATAAAATTTATGCCAGCATAAGGTGAGCACCTATGCCTACCTAGGCCTAACCCCCACAATAAGTTTCGAAATATAATATTAATTATATTACATCCTGAGGGGGATGGAAGAGAGAATAGGTGTTGTGGACACAAGATGAGTGCACCTGCTCACAAGGTGCAGGGAATTACCCAGGCTTACCTGCTTCCTAAGGTGTGCTCTATGAGTAAACATTACCTGGGAGTGATCACGAAAGTACCACTATTGTGTGCGATTATCAATTACAAAGTGCAATATTGCTATTAGCTTGCACTTTAACACAGAGGTGGGAGTCTTGCCTCTCACACTTGTCCAGCCAAACATCCCTCTTGATTTCCTGGGAGATAAAGTGGACAAGAGATTATCAGGTTGAAGAAACTTCATGTACCTGTTGGTATTTTCTACGCGTAAGTACAGATTAATGATTAAATGCAATAATTACAATAATTGTTGCAAATGAACTGGTTCACAAAATGTGCATTATTTAGTTGAACATTTCTAACCTAGCTCTCAATATTAGGTATTGTAAAATGACTATGATGAACAATAAGCAACTGCAACAATGTTAATTACGTGTTATATATCATTAGCATTATTATCCTGATATTGGTGAAGATGAATTAGTTATCTTAAAATGAATGTTGTTACATGAATGATAACTATTCAAGATATTTAATTAATAAATATAGTTGAATTTAGTTATGACTGGATTCATGTATACTAAGATTGATTGTATATAATATGATGAATATCATATCTATATGATATGAATATAGAATAGATATATATTATAGTTGACCAAACCACACACCAGAAGATGAAAACACGACGACGTTTCGGTCCGTCGTATACCATTATCAAGTCGACTGTGGAGAGAAGAGGGAGGTAGCGGGCATAAGTAAGATAAGAGCTACCCGTTCTCGCACTTGGTATAGTCAATATTGGCTTATTTAATAAGTGCATATGTGACATACTAATTTATTGTGAATATTTTAGTTTACCTTGAAAAGCTTCATAGAAAACACCGACCTCACCTAACCTTCTTAGTATGTTAAGATAAGCATCTTATTGCTTCTTACTTACAGTTATTACTTAACCTATACCGTTGATAGGTTAAGTAAAAATTGTTAATAAGAAGCAATAAGATGCTTATCATAACATACTAAGAAGGTTAGGTGAAGTCGCTGTTTTCTATGAAGCTTTTCAAGGTAAACTAAAATATTTACAATCAATTAGTATGTCATCTACGCACTTATTAAATAAGCCAATATTGACTTTAAGCAAGTGCGAGAACGGATTGGGCAAGAGTGAAGTGAGGAGGAGGAAAACTTGGAGAAAGGAGAAGCAAGCGAAAGATAGGAGTAATAACGGGAATGAAGGAGTTAATAATAAAAGTAAATGTGAATGAAAGAGAAGGTAAAAGAAAAAGAAAATGAAGAAGAAAGAGAAAAAGCATGCGTAGGTTTATGTTAGGTCACGTTTGTTAGAATGTTAAGAACATTTGAGCATATACTGTGCAGGGGAAGCATCAACAGCAGCGACTGGTTGTGTATCAGAGCAGATTCCAGACGACAGCGTCTGTGATGAGAAGAGTCAGGAAAGATTATTTTAGACGAAGACCAATCAATAGGACGATTAGAATCCTTCTCCCAGCCCTCAGGTGGTGTTTACTTCCCCTCTCCCAGTCCCCAGGTGGTGTTTACTTCCCCTCTCCCAGCCCCCAGGTTG